TCCTGCTCTATGTAAAGGATATGTGCACACACAAATCCCTGCAATTTCCTCCAAATGCTGCACACTAGGATTTCAGATTAACTGATGAACCCCACGGGATGCACGCGCATGGAAAAACAGCCTAATGCATGCACATGCAAGGCCTTACTCCAGAAATTCAGTGATGTATTTCCTACTGCATTTTGACCACATCCAGGGATTGGTGTAGAAGTTCAGCGTCGGTGCCATGACATGCTGTTGATTTTTACCTCCATCTTCTTTGCACTTATGATTGTCATCATGTGGCATGTTAAATCTAAGAGAAACACAGCAGCAAAAAGTACAGTCAGTTAAGTGGCAAATGTCAAGTATTTAGCATAGCAAGAGCAACAATGTGAACTAAATGCAAGCAAACTCAAGAATTTTTCCTAGATATGGTACTGAGAGATATGACAGAATAAAAGTATTAATATGCACATATTCATAAAGGTCAAGAAGTGTTGCTCAAACAGCGTTCCTAGCACTGTCTGCAAAGAGCTACACAGCACCCTGGTAAGTTCTCCACGCTGTGACTCCATGTATTTAGCTGGACAAGTCCTTGAGGGAGCCTGGAGTAAGATGCAATTTCAGCTGCAGTTTCCATTTCAGCTGACGGCTGTGATCCTGCAGACAGGCTGGAGCCCAGCCCCACCTTTGTAAAAACAGCAAGTTCTCTGGAATTGAGCCAAAGAGCCAAGTTTCTGAAGGAGATGAACGACCTGAGCCCACCGACCACCGGTGCCCGAAGTCCCTCGCATACGCTGGCAGCACCCTGTGGTGCTGCAAAACGTCTTCTAATGCGGTTGAATACCTTGGGCCACGCTGATCCTTCACGTTGTTGTCTAAACAGGGCTGCACCAGGGGCAGACTTGGCTTCTAAACTTTATGCAGTCAAGCACCGACATGAGCAGAAACCCACGCAGAGCCTGCGGCATATGACATACCGAAGAACGCGGCAAACGCGCGAATGGAGACCGGACGGCTTAAAGCGCTTTGCCGTTTGAAGCGGAGAAGGGGAAATGACCTGGCATGATCCTGCGTTCGAAGGCTGGGAAGTTTATATCCCATTATACCTCCAATGAACCACCTTTTAACTCGGCTCCCTGTAAAAGGGCAAAGAGGCATTTCCTGCTTGGAGCACCTCTAACCCCTCCGGCAGCTGCAGGGCAGCATCGGTGAAGGAATTAGCCACAGGTTAGGTGTGGGGAACACCAACCCTTTGGCGACTTTCTCTCAGGAAATCTTATTTAAACAAATACTACTGTGGTTAAAAATAGACCGTCTCAGCCAGCTCTCTGTGCAGAGAAAGGGAGTTTGAAACAATGAGAGATCTGTTCCCAAGTAGTCACCCGTCTCACACCTACGGACCTCCGCTGCAAACCAGGCGTGAGGCAGTTTGGGACTGAGTTGTAGCTGGCGAGTGAAGGACTATGTGATCTAAGATGATTTTTCTCACTATCCCTCTGAAAAAAAAAGGTCAAAAGCAGTTAAAAGAATTTTCCATTGGAGGAGGTGCATCTCGAATGACAGCATCTCTTCTGGGGATGTCCAGCCACATGAGATTTTCCCCTCACGAAACAGTTCAGAAGGTAGGTGGGGCTCACTTACACATCCCCATCACCCACCAGATGCCGTGGGTAAATTCCTCCCTTGGCACACGGCTGCTGCACTGCCTTCGGTAGCACCATGCATGGTCCTGGACCAAGCTGTGCTCTCGGAGGAGACTTCAGTCCCAAAGGCCAGATGAGATGTGCCTGAGTCCATCACCCTGGCCCTCCCTGAGGCACCCAGCACCTCTCAGCCCTGGCCAAAAACTTGGCTAGTGCCAGTGGCTTGGCTGAGACACCACAGCTGCTGGGGCAGATCCTGCTGACATCCGCATGTAGATGTGAGAAGATGCAGCAATAAGGGACATTTTGTTAGCTCTCCTCCCTTGCTTAGGGGCTGCTCGGAGTACCCTGCCACTCATCCTCCCCCAAAACATGGGTCTGCTGGTTTTGCTGCTCACAGGTAGGCTCCAGAGCAACCCACCACCTCTCAGAGTCACACCACAGCTTCACCTTCCTCAGTGGTGCATGTTCTACCCAAGTATATCTCCTCTCAAATAATTAGGCTCAGCAGGTACCAAGCTCTAGCCTGGCGGGTAAGCTAGCATAAATCTTGGGCTATTTAAATGTAAACGTATTTACATAAAACATACACATGGCCAAGTTCATGTGCTATTGTGAAAGCAGTGCTCAGTCCGTTATCTTCACTAATTGAACAGCTCCTGTATGGGTCACAGACTGTGCCCAGCTCTGCCAGACCTAGGAGAGAACAAAGAGGATGATAGAAAAAGAAACGTTGCCCACCATTCAGCACAGGCAACTAACATTGTCACTACAAAAAAAAGTTATTAAAAGACAAAGGAAAGGTTTTCCTTACCCAGAGTATCACATTTGTCGTGCGCTCTACAAATATCCTGTCTGAAAGCAGAACAGACCTGACACATTAATTTTCAATGCAGCAGTGAGTTAAGGTACAAGCACAATAATAATAACATCCAAAAGCAATTCTTGGTCCTCCACCAGACGTGCCCATGCTGGCTGGCCACATCGTCCAGTCAGAGTCTGAACCAACTCCCTATCATAGTCAGAGTTTTCCATCTTACGTTGAACCCATGGGCAGACTTCGGACAGTCCTGAACCTCTCAAAGTCATCTCCCAGTATAGTGGAAACATTACCCAGTTCTGCTCACAGTTATGCTGCTCCCACAACTGCAAACATCATTACACCCACCTCAAGACCCAAACACTTCCCATCGCTGCATATATTACACGCTCACAACCTCTGACACACGACTGGCTACAGTTTTCATGAGAATATTCACCGTACCTGGTAACAAGCACAGCTGTGTCATGTTGAAGGTGACTTCCTTCAGGGTGGTTCTGGGATTGCTGCCATTGGCAAAAGTTTTTTAACGTTGTCTGGGCATTGTAAGATATTGCAGGACCATCCTAATAAGCAATACACATAAACCAGGTGTTTTAATTACTCATCGCAAATTTATTTTCTCACTACAAATGCCAGTGTTAAACAGAAGGAGAAGAAAACCACTTTCATTACCTGCTCATTATGTATCACGACCAATTTCACAATAACAATATTAATTAAATTTCCAATGCTTGGGTCTTTGTAGATAGAAGCTACCTGTTTCAAAAAGAAATATTTCGAATTATTGTTAATATTGAAGGAAAAAAACAATTAAGACAACAGATGCACGTTTTCCATTTTGCAACCATTTCTCCTGAGCTGTTCTTCTGCCCCACTCAGTGCTCTGATGCTACTTGGAGAGACGTCCTGCCAGAAGCATCGTTTTAGAGTGAAAAAAACCTGCTGGTATCACAGAAACCCAACATTTCCTTCTGCGTTAACACACATTTCACCAAATTCCAGGATCGTTCTGCTCTGAGATACAATGACCACTGACCAAGACTGTCAAAAGCAACTTATTCTCTCAAGAGCCTCATTTTGCCATGGACATTTTTAAACCATGTATTCACTGCACTTCTACTGCCTAATAGGACAAAAATCTCTCCAGTGAGACAACTATGTTGGATGCTCACCTCCACTCACTAGGCATCTCCAAAGCTGCTTGTCTGGGAACTGCACTACTGCATCCTAGTACTAGTAGCTACTAAAACACTTGTCCTCAGCCTGGAAAGCCAACCCTAGCACTACACTAAGGATCAAGGTGACCACAGGCTGCTTCTCCTTGCAATAGCAAGGGAAGTCAGGCAACTGCATGATCTACTAGCATCAGTCCCCTGGAAGGCACAGTCGCCAAAGCATCTTTTTAATTCAGCTGCTATTTCACACGAGTCTAAATAAAAAGAGGAGTGCAGCGTGTGGACTAAAGGGCTGCTGACACTTCTCGTGCTGCCTGGGGTTTGGAAAGCTGGAATGGAGAGGTGCAGGAAGAGTCAGGAAACATGATGGGTCTGGGAAGGAAGACGACCCCAATTGGTGTTCCCCAGCCAAGTCTTACCAAGCTTTACTCTAATCCCAGCATTATCCCCACACCTAGTTGAGGCAAACCAATGGTATCGCATAAGACTGCAACAGACTGGAGACTCTGTGGGTGAATCTACTCCCCCTAGTTGAATACTCACTATTGACATTAATGTTAAGACATAGTGCTGTAGATTAGCACCATGGTAGGCGACCATCCTGCTGTCAGCCACCACCATCACTTCCACAAACCGAGGGTAGGACAGAAACCGCTTTGTTCTTCTGTGGCTCTTCTTTTCACCAATGTTCGCAGTCTTGTTGCTATCCGCAGAAAACGAATTCACTTCCAGGCTGTGTTTTAACATCTCCATGTCAGATAATATGCTGCTTTCTGCCCACTGTCTTCTCCAGTGTTTCCGCTTGTTCTTTTTGTGACTGTGTTCATGGTCTATGATTAAAAAGCAGACAAAAATACAAAGTACATTCTGGAGCAAATGGAGTTAATGCCACATGCACGTTACGTCAAAATACCTATTTACTTCAACCAAGAGTTAGCAGGCTCGTTCCAAACAGCTAACCAAAACAGACGAGCCCCGCGGAAGTCCACCACGTCACCCAACATCTAAGGCTTTTCTTAATTTTTAAAGTAATCTTACAGAAGCCAATGACACTTAAAGGCAGACACTCACATACAGGCTTTCCTGCAGAAGGAGGGATGGAGCCTGGGCTGCAGTTCAGTTTAGCTCAACGTGAGCCCGGTGATGGTAATTAGCCACCGTAGCGCCTGCGTGAGGATTCTGGGCACGTCCAAGGTGGCCAGGAAACCACAGGAAACAAAGGTCCAAATCCTGTATTTCTAACTCAGGCATGAAGGACGGCAGGATTTGGCCTTCATAGCGAAGCAATTATATATGATTTATTTCTGTCTTTAACAATAACATGGCTGGGCTTCAATTCACCCCCTCCCTTTATTATTCTGTGCTACGGGAATGGTAAAGGTCATCTAATAGCACAGCTGCCACTGGCTAAAGAATAGAATTCAGGAAGTTTCACATATACTGCTTTTGATATTCAATTAGGCCAAACATAAAAGCAGCCTGAAAATATACTCCATGCTGATACAAAGACGACAAAGTGAAGAGGGAGAACAGGCAAATAAAACATACGGAACGTGTACAATTAAGATTTACCATCTGATTAGTATGTAATTATAGCATTATTTAAATGTAAGAGCAAAATCAGTCTTATTTGATGCCACTTAATTTTTAATCAGTTCATCGTAGGAAGTAGCTAATTGAATGTGATTCATCCATGAGAGACTGTTCGCTTCTGCATTTAATATAAAGCCAGATCTGGACTACTCATCTAAGACTCCAGGCTACAACCCTCACGCTCTTTGTAGCTTTAGTTTAATTTTGTCATGGTGGAGAAAAATATCACGTTTCCTTATCTGACCGACTGAGTAGGTTAGAGGAAGTATAATATTAGGGAACAAAGGAATATTCCATGCTCAAACAAGATTGAAATGATAGGAAACTTCTTAGCTATTTTTCCTGTGTTGTTTCCTTTTAGGATATTTTGTAATAATTTCCAAAAAAAGAAACATGAAATACATTCTGTAACATCAAGGCAGGCAAAGGAGGTTGGCCAGCTTGTACTCATCTGAAAAATACTGTCTTTTTGCCCTAGGTGTAAACAAGAAATAGAATATTTAAGAATTAAATCTTGCTTACTCTGCACTACCACAGTCCTATGAATTCCCCTTTCTCGATACAGTTCAGACCACCTTAATTCAGCAGAAAGTCCACAGTTATTTGAGTAAGAATTCGAGAAAGCCAATGGCATTTGTGGTTATAATTGGATTGCCCTAGTTCCTTTGCACTAATCAATGCCCTTGTGTTGGAAAGGTTGTGCTCTCATGCTGGCACGGCTTCGTGGGCAACCGTGACATTATCCCGACTCGCTCAGTGCCAATCAGCGTGGGAAGCCAACTATGCATACAAATAACTTAAAGGTGAGAAGACGACCAGACCGAGGAGAAAGTGCTAACCTCAGCCCTTCAGCCAGTCACTTAAATTTCCCTTTTAAATAACTAACTTCCAAAAGAAGCAGGTGTGCAAGGCAAAACGTGTTAAGGATGAGGAGATGCTCAACAGGGCTGGAGCAAGGCTGAAGGCAAGGCTGCAGTGCGCGAAGGCAGAGCTCTGCACCATCCGCTGCCACAGCTCCGCAGAGCCCCACACAGGGCCATGGGGCTCAAGAGTCTTCTCCAGCCAGCCTCACAGAGCAAGGTTAGATGGCAACAGAAGAGGGAAATGCAAAGGATCCTTTGAAGAGATATCTGATATACAGGAGGTGTTTAAAGAAATCAATTGACATTCACCAGGCTTGCACTGATATCCTGCAGCTAGTGGTGCCACACGCTCAAAAAAACCCAATACCATCCAAAAAAACAGAGAGGTCCACATGAAATGCCAGGTCTGTTTCCAAGAGCCCCAACCTGACCCATCACGCAGGAGAACCAGAGCCCAATGCAGCCTAATACGCCCAACACAGAGGAAAAAACACCTTCTTTTCTATTGCAGAGACCTGGCACGGTGTCATGGGATCAGATTCACTTAGCTTGGGAAAGACCCTTAAAATCATTGAGTCCAATGACTAACCTAACAGTGCCAAGTGTCGGTACAGTTTCAGTGTACTTCCCCCATGCAGCACATAAATCAAGTTGGCCACATCATCCCTTCAAAAATCAACCTATTTTTTTCAAGTTGTTGTCATTCCAACACTTAGAGCACGTTACTCGGACAAGTCACACGTAGTATGTTTGCCAGTCTAGTTACTGTAAAACCGAGCACCAGGGAGGAGGGATGCATTGCATGTAAAGCCACTCCTGGACTTTGATAGTAGTGAATTGTTATCTTTACCCATCTTCCCAGCATATAACTACACTTGGAGCTGGTGCACATTCACCTGTAAAAAATTAAACACTAATGGCAGTGCACTGCTCTCAACCCATCCATAAAACCCCACTGGCATTAATGGGAGTTGCACACAGGGACTGCCAGGACTCCGCGTGCCTGATGCTGCCGATATCTCACTTGCTCCGTTACGACAGCCACAACAGAAATGCTCTTATTGAATGGCACAGAGTACAGCCTTTTCATCAAGCAGAAGTGGAAATCTCTCACGTCACACAAGAAAACTGCAATTTTACAGCGCCAGCTTCCTACTGCCACATACAACACCAAAAAAGGGTGTGATATTTTTCCACCTGGTTTTGCTTGCTTTTTTTTTTTTTCCTATTGTGTTAATATATTAACAGAAATCAGGAAGGAAAATGGTTTGCTTGGCAAACTCTCAATCTTTGCAAGTGACCTGAAAAACATCTACCTACACATGGCAGTAATTGGATGGGTTTAAATAACAAAACATTTTCTTTAATTTGCAGAAAAAACAAAACCCCAATGAGTAGACACACACTTTAAAACCATGCAAACTACAGGTCAATAATTCAAGTACTAGGTGAGCCTATGCACTGATTTAACAGTTAATATTCGCTGAAGAGGTGGCTAAAAGCCTGCTGGAATAATGTCCAATTTTACTGCTTGCTTTCCTAAGACAGTCTATGGTATTTGCACTGTCTTTAGACAGACCTGGAGGTGTATGTTCATTTTTTTTCCACTTGGTTTCTTCTTTGTTATATGGGACTTCAAAAAGAGGCCCAATCCTGTGACAGGGATATTCCTTCCTGATGGCATCTCCCCACCCGTGCCATTTATTTTTGCTTGCACAAGAAGCCTAAGCCCAGAGCCCACTGAGCTGATTAATGGATGACTCCTGCCAATTGATGGACTTTGGATCTATCCCAAGGGAGAAGGCAGGGGAGACTCGGGCCCTACGCGAGTACTTGTCACATGAAAGGGTGACAGAGCAGAGCCAGGGACTGCTTTTGAAATAGTAACTATTGTTATGCTAAAACCAAAAATTAAAAGAAAGCGCGATCGCTTATCCCAACAGTTCTAATCCTTTCCATTTCTACATTAACTTGTCCTTGGAATAGAAAGCAATTTGCACAATTAAATAAGACATGTAACAATGCAAGTAATTCCTGTTCATGAGAGCTGCTCATAGCAGGGGGAGGGGAGAAAAAAAAAAAAAAAAACGAACATAGAGAGTAAGAGAGGGGAAAAAATAATCTATTTCTTGAGCTAATAACATTAACAACCTCTCCCTGCTAGAAAAGGAGCATGGTCCTTTCAAACCAAGTTACTGTCATACGTTTTCTGAATGTTTGACCTAGTTTTTTTAACCCAAAGTTTGCTCCTCAGTGGTTGGCCCATAACACTCCCAGACCTGCTCTGATCCAGCCGCACGGATGATAAAACTATTGTTTGGAAGCTAATTACTTATTGCACACCTCCATAAAGCTGATCAAAACGCAGCTGAGCTCCCCCCAGGCAGTCACTCGGTGTGTGACCCACCTCCCTCCAGTCGAGCAGGAGCCGCGGCAGCAAACCCTGCCCAAACGGTTCGGTTCAGCTCCGGCTACAGTCGGCTGATCCAAATTGGCTGCCTGTAGCTGGTACAACAGCAGCCACTGAATTGATTGTCATACCTTGGGAAAGAGAGGCGAGAGCCAACATGGATTTTCTTTATGCAGAGGTCACACTGGTTGAAATCAAACCACGTTTTTAGGCTCTTCTTGCCAGGATATGGGATGGAAACCATCTCCTCTTCAGGACCCAAACAGGTCTTAAGCTGGACCAAAGGATTTTTCTTAGCCCTGGGTCTGTCTTAATTCTGTATTGGTACGTTTCATATTTCTAGTTACCTTTCAATATGTCTACAGATACCTCTCAGCTGAATTTACATGACATCAAATTCTCATCTGTTACTGTGAGAGTGTTGTTGTGGCCAGCACTACCCAAATGCAAATTAATTCAAATGCAAATTAATCTGAACTCAACCAACAGAGATCAACTAGAGTGTCAACCTTCATTGGCAAGAGCTGCACAAAACTCCATAGATCAAACTCACCGTTGGAACTACTGAAAATGTGGTAAAATATCTGACCTTTCACAGGCACCACTATTAGAGCAATACAAAGGAGGGAAACTTTAATTTTCCTCGTGTTATTCATATTCCCCTAAGAATTAAGACACAATCTGGACTCAAAAGAGTTCCCTCCCAAACTGCTTCAGGAGAATCAAAATATTGGGCTTCTACAAAAAAGTTTTCTTTGCTACTAAGAGAAGTGTTTGCACAAACAGATCATAAGCCCTCATGGCCCAGGCACACATGCTTGTTAATTTTCTTGCCTTCCTCCACTTTGAATTTTGCACTTACACTTTAGTAAGTGGCTTCCTAGATGTCCGACTGGAGCCACACTCAGATCCTCAGAAAGGTCCATGTCCAGGAGCACCTGCTGCTGAAGTCAGCTGAAGCACA